TGTGATACAATTACAGATTAAAACTGAGATTTCACAAAGGCTACAAATGGCTGCTGAATGTGACATGCTCTGATTTAAGGCAGCAGCAGGCTGTGTTTCACACTAGGTTGCCTCTAGTAAAATAAGTCTCCCTAAGCGAGTTGCACAGGCCTTAAGTACCACAAGACTTTACAGATCCTGTAGTGGCACATTATTATTGTTACCCTTTCAAATTTAGCAGCTCTGAACTGTAGATTCAGAAGTCTCCATCTCAGTGTTTCCACTCATTAAACAGCTTTCATTGAAGGAGCCCTGGGAACATCGCCCTGAAATTCCTGGGTCATTCTGTCACTAGCTCAGTTCCTGCAGCACAAGGCTAGTTTAGTTTTAATTCCTGGTGGTCTCCATTGTTTTAACTGCTGTAGGATAATGGAGTTTGCTGACTACAGTGTCTGTGCAAATAACAGAGACCTTTGTATCCAGAGAATGAACTCACGCTGAACACGCAGAGAAACATGGCCTGCCTACACAAAAGCATTTTTCTTTCAGAAACATCCCGCTGTATCTACTTCTGATTCTGCATATATACAATGATTCTGTAGCCTTAAAAAGGGATTTTTGACCTATGGCAATTTTCTTAAAAACTGTATGGCTGCAGCCTAACTGATTTGCTCTTTTTGACATGTCTTATTACAAGAGCTTCTAAACAGTCTTCTCGGTGCTGTTCCATTTAGCCATAGAATTTGTGGTTTTTGGAATTTTTTTTCCTAACAGAAATTGCCAAGGAAGTCACACTTTTCTCAGCAGGGGATGTAGTTTTATCACTCTGACACTGAAGCACTTACAGAAGAAGATCATTTAGTTGTTTAATATTTATTTGGTCACCACTCTCACAGGCCTATAGAAGTCTCCTCTTTTGGATTCTGTCATGCTCACCCTAACTTCTCAGTTTGAGCTGTTCACCTGGATGTCTCATGCCACCCTCATGCCAGGACCCCTCCATTTAGCTAAATGTCTGGTAACGTCTACTTTTAGTTACCTCGTAAATACATGCTGCTGACTTACAAATTTACAGCAAAAAGACACTCAAATACCTTTTCAAATGTGTAGTTGCAGGAGCACAAACATGGCTTTGTGTACTCCTTTTAATGACACAAGAACAACAAAGACCTTAGCACCATACTATTCAGTGTTACAGGTTTCTGCAGAATCTTGTACTTTTGCCCAGCTACAGAGAAAGACTGCTAAAAAAATAGCGCAGGCCCTGGGAAAACGATCCATAACAGTTCACAGAATATTTACTATGATTTACTGCTATGAGAATACATAAATCATAAATGGACCAAAATTATTTCCTTGCTTTAAGGGTAGTTGGCTTGCTCAATGAGCTCTCTTTTGACAAGTGACAGAGTTACGAGCCTTGAGCAGGAGGAGCAAAAAAAGACATGGGAGTACAACAGACAGTTTTAGACACATCACTATTTCTTCACTCCCAAAATTCGTGAGACCAAAGATTCAGAGATTCTCCCTTTCTTTCCTGTTCTTCACCTTTCAACTAAGTTTTTCAAGTTACTTTTTTTTTTTTTTTTTCTGCATCCAGAACAACCCTTTTCCTAAGAGAGGACCAAATGGGGCAGTCCCTCTGTTTAACCGTTGTGCATTATTACTGTAGGTACATGAATCTTCCTAAACAATCTTTCTTCAACACACTGCATGGTAGAACTGTGCTCACAGCATCTCTGAACACCAGGCAGGGAGCAAAAAGGAAGGGGCAAGACCCAAGGAGTCTTCAGATCTGCCACAAACACACTCCATCAGCATCATCAAATACCATATATATAACATAACAGGGCAATATATTTTGTTTTACCGAATATCAAACGCCTTCACGTAGGGATTAATACTGGCAACACGGATGGTGAGGAACTGCACAGGCATATTTGAGTCTGGCGTGAGCTCATGCTGTCTGGAGTCTGTCACTGTCAAATGAATGTCCTGCTGCTGGGCAACATGTAAACAGTAGGTGGTCACCTTAATCACCCACGTGTCCGTAACGATCACCCTCGCTCCTGGGGCTCCAGTAGCAAATTTGTCAATTCTCCTGAATTCTGTATTGATGGAAGAAGCCACTGCCCTCCATCCTGACTGTGGGAGAGCGTGAACAGCGAGCGTCCGGGCTAAGGGGTGGTTATTCCAACCCTTCCGTGACCAGTAATATGCCAGGGCACCAGCCACCGCTGGGAAGAGAACGGCGAAAAACAGGAAAGTTTTCCATCCACTTGAAGCCAGGTAGAAAAAATAAAGGTGTTTTTCAGGTGCAGCAAAGCACATACCAAGGTAATAACCTGCAAGGAAGAGGAAGCAGTTAAGTACACACGTAAAGACACACCCCTGGATCTTACAGTTAATCTAGCCAGTGAGCTCACCCCCGGGACAGCTGTAGGACGGTATCTGTCATCCTAAGCAATTTGATACTTCGTACCCTTACCTGTCACTGAGTTTTACTAGAAATATATCACTCAAGGAAGCCGATTTGAACTTCCTGGTTAAATAAAAACCTCTTTTTTTGTAATGGCATGGACGCAGCCAGGTAGTTTCAAAGCTCAGCATTCCAAAGAAGCCGGAGAGCTCCCACCACGCCGCCCGCTGTCGGGGAGCTGCCCACCTTCCCGCACCCAAGGGTGGGAGACGGGTGCCGGCCCCTTTCTCCCCACCGAAGCCGGGTGTCTCACCGAGGGGCAGCAGGGAGTGAGCCAGCAGCGTGCCGGTGCTGCGCCGCAGGTGGTACTGCACGAAGGCCGCGTCCTCGCTGCCCAGCCAGGAGGCCAGCAGGCCCTGCACTGTCAGCCCCGCTGAGCGCACCTCGTCCGGGGGGAAGACGAAGCAGACGGCGAACACCACGTAAGCCAACGTGAAGGTCACCGCCGGGCTCTCCATGCTGAGCCGCCGGGGCACAGCACGGCTCAGCACGGCTCAGCTCAGCCTTGCGAGGCTCTCTGGGAGATGTAGTCCTGCGGGCTCGCCGAAATCCTGCTGCCACCGCACAGCACGGCCTCAGGAGATAGATGGCCGTGGGGAGGCTGGGCAGGGCCAGGAGGGTTTGGGGTTGCTCCTCACCCAAAGGCTCTCATTGTGGCGTCACCTGCTGTCTCCATCCCCGGCAGCCAGGCACGTGAATGCGGAGGTGCTGAGCTCGATGAAGTTCATAAACTTTTAATTGTACGCTGCACAGGCCCGGCAGAGGAAATTAATTAGAGTTTTAAACCCAGAAGAGCGCCGTATGAAGATAACATCCGTCTGAATTAGGCTAATGTTTTACTTAAGGCTCTGGAAAAAAAAGAACAAGAAAAAAAGAAAAAAAAAAAAAAAACAACAAAAAAAACACTTTTTATCCAGGCTTCCTGTTGTGTTTTACGTAATATTTTCTTTAGAGGATGATCAGCTAAGACCTTAATGGGAGACAGATTTAAAGGTACATTTGTACACTCCAAAACACAGTACAGTCCTACCTGTGATTTCTGGCTACTCCTGAAATAGAAACGAAACAAAACAAAACAAAACAAAAACTAATAGCCACAAGAATGGCTGTTTCTCTCAGAATGCAACACCCCCCCTGCCTGCACCCTGCAGTAACCATGAACTGCAACATTTGTCTGTTACAAAGAAAGGGGAAATTGTGTAATTGGAGAAGCACAGAAAAGAAACCATTGTGCAACATTTTAAACTGCTACCAAGTAAACCAAGTAAATAGGAAATGCAGCCCCCACAATGTGAAATCTTATGCTGGCAGATGGTTGCCGTGTTACTGATGTTCTTGGGGATCAGGAATTCATGGTTGTTTAGTGATTCTTGAATAAGATTGCTGCATTGATACAACTAAGCTTGGATTGGGAACATCTTATTTCATCCTAAAAGACAGTGTTGTTACAAAATTGTTTTAACAATCATTTCATTGTTGCTAATGACTCAGCTGCAAGATCTGTTTTAATTCCTGGGCTGGGCTATGAAGATTAATAAAAATAAGCTTGTGAAGCTTTTTTTTTTTTTTTTTTTTTTTTTTTTTTTTTTTTTTAAGAGGAATGTTGAAACAGAATAACTGAGATGTTGTGGAAGTTATTGTGCCAGAGGGAGGAGGAAGGAGAGGCAAAATACTCTCAGAGCTATGTGGGACAGTTGTGCAAAAGTCCTGAAGGTCCATGTGGATTTATTTATCAACACAGATTTCTCAACAGAACCAGAATTTAAACGTGGATGTAAAACTTTTCCAACTTCTGAGCTGATCCTGCATTATTTTCTGCATCAGCAAATTTTTATTTATTTTAAAGGATCTTAATGGGGAAAAAAAGAAACATTTCATGAGCTCAGCACAGGCGTGACTCTCAGGGGATGCTCTGGGTTTTTACTTCCAGAGACCTCTCAAAAAGTCAGCCCAGCCTGCTGTAGGCTCAGACCTGACTCCTCCAGTCTCCTGAGAGAGAATATTAGAGCCTATTCCTGTGATTTTTACCCTTTTTTGCTTCGTATGGACATCAGGGTGTGTGTAGTTTGGACTGATGAGCACAGGCAGGCACCTGCCTGAGTCTGTAAATATCTCTATGGGTTTTCAGTGCTTTGCAGGCACCCTCTTAGCTCATTTCCTTCTGCTGCAAGAGGGTTTTGGGTATTAAAACGTTGGTTTTGTAAAATGTCACACCGAAAAGTGGAGTTATTTAGCACAGGATTTACGGACCCGAGTCCCTGCCCCCCAAATACACTTCAGTCCTGTTGGGGCCGATCTTGGGGTGCCAGTAACACCACAAATTTCTCCAGAATAACACTAAACACGGGGTTTTCTCCCCTCAGAACCAGCAGGTGCTTGGCCTAGCGGGAAGCGGGGCTGAGCCATAACAGAGCGCCGCAAACTACAATTCCCAGCATGCCTCACGCGGCAACACCCCCTTCCGCGGCGCCCTATTGGCGCGCCGCCCCTCTATCCCCGCCCCACCTGGCAGCGCGCTTTTCCGATTGGCTAAGGCGTTCGTAAATGCCGCTTCCCATTCGCCGGTTGGAGCCGCCGTTGAAATTTGAAATCCTGAGGCGGCGGCGCTGGTGGCTGTGGCGAGGGCGGTTCGGTGCCTGCCGGGTCCTGCTGGACGCGCTGAGGGGGCTCGGGCCCGGGTCGCTGCCGGCAGGTAAGGGCTGAGAGGGGCTGGGGGGTTCCTTGGTGTGCTTTGGGGGGCGCTTGGGGGCCCCTTTGTGGTTTTTTGGGGGGTTGGGAGGGTTTTGTGGGGGTCTTGTGAGGGGGTCTGTGGGGTTGGGGCCCAGAGGCAGGGCTCAGGGGGCGGCGAGGGGCTCGGGAAGGGCTTGGAGTCGTCCTTGGGTCTTGGGGGCGGTGTAGGGGGGTCTCTAGGGAGTGGGGGTGAGGGGAGGGGGTACAGGTTCGGCTCTGTGGGGCTGGGGTCCCCAGGGGGTTGGGGGGGGGGGGCTCGGTCAACAGAGATGCGCATTTCTGGGTCGCTGAGGCCGCTTTTTGGTCCCCACACGAAGAAGGGGGGGACGAGGGGGCTGGCTGCTGCCCCTCACGGCTGTTCTGGGCTGGGGCTGCTGCGAATTCTCCCTCAAACGGTTTGGGAGTCGAGTGGCCTCTGCGGTCAGAGGCAGGCCACGACTGTGAAGGAGGCTGTTAATGGGAAAAGTCATTGCTGGTGCTGGGCTGAGGTGTTTGTGCTAGTAATGAAAGACTTTTTGAGGAAAGTCCAAGCGAGCTGGGCCTGTTTAGCCTAGAGAACAGGGTACCGAGAAGGGATCTCATCAATCTCTACAAGTACCTGAGGGGGCCATGTGAAGAGGATGGGGCCAAGCTCTTCTCAGTGGTGGCCAGTGATAGGACAGGGGTTAACAGGTGTAAATTGAACCACAGGAGGCTTCATTGCCATATGAGGGAGAGCTTCTGTATGGTTTGGATGACAGAGCACTGGAACGGGCTGCCCAGAGAGGTTGTGGAGTCTCCTTCTTTGGAGATGCTCAGAACCCGCCTGGATGTGGTCCTGTGCAGCATGTTTTATGTGATCCTGCTTGAGCAAGGGTGGACTAATGATCTCTGGAGGTCCCTTCTAACCTCAACCATTCCGTGAAAAGACAGCTGTCAGCTCTGTGGGGAAACACAGCAGCACGTGCCTTGGGTCACTTAGTGATGTGTGAGCTGCAGTTAACACATGAAAAAACAGCCCAAAATACCAGGTGTGAATGTTGGTTGTAATGTGTTACTCCGTCTGGGGTGAGTGCTCGGCATCGTAGCTGCTGGAGGGCATCAAAAGAATAAATAAGTAGGAAAAAATTGCTTTTGCTTTGCATGTTCAGTGCAGGCATTTGAGACCACACTGGTGTATTGGGTGTTGTGCCCCTGTGACTGGTAGAAAATAACAGGTAGCTGCTAGGAAGCCCTCAATTTATAAATTGGATTCACTTGGTGTCACCAGACTTATGTTCTCAAATACAGAATGGAAGGCTGCTGGTTGTACGTAGATAAATATTCTTCAGAAACATGAAGCAGTTTCATTTTGGGATCTTTGAGTGGCCATAGTGGGGGAAAACTTGTCTTTCACAACCCCTGCTTGCATGAATTGGCTACTGATCACCTCAAACAACGATGTCATTTTTTTTTTTACTTAAATTCTGCATTTATTTAAAATATTTGACTTCTAGATTTAATATCTAAAAGTCTGGACAAAAATACGCACGTGTATATGGGGTCAATTTGTTAGCCATTTTAGTGATCTGAATCTGGTGCATGTGTAGCTGAATAACAAGCCTGAAGTCTCCAGGTGAGCATCCCATGCTTGTGGAGCTTGTTTTAAAAGTGCTGCCAACTTCATCACATCTTAGGCTTTGTTTCTAAACTAATTGATTGCACAAAATACCTAAAGATTTGTTGATCTGTTGTCCCAATTTTAGCTTGCACTAAAGTGCTTTATTTCAAGTTCTACAGGTTAATGTAAAAAATATTTTATGTGTAAAATAACTTGGGCTAAAGTATGAGTGTGATGAAAGCTAAAGAAGGAACGAAGAAATAGCAAATAGAGGTGTACTTGGCATTGCTTCCATATCTGTTGTTTGCATTCTATTGCTGATTAACACCCTGCTGTTGTCAGTCTCTCAGACAAAGCAGCTGAGCTCACTGGAGAGTAGGAAGCAGACTTTCCCATAAGGATTATTGTAAGAGTGGGGAGATGAATATTCAAATTTCCATATTTAAGTCTCTGCATACAAGGGCAATGAGATTGAAAATGTGACAAAGCTTTCAGTGTGAGTGTTCTTGTTACCTCTTTACGAAAATTAAAATGATCATTTGGAGTCTCCCTCTGCTAATTTTGTTGACTGCATGATGGAGGATGGAAAAAGAAGCTGATGGTCAGCTGTTTGTTCAAATCAAGCTTTTGAGACAACTTGGAATGGTTATCCAGTGCAGAAAGCCAACGTCTCTGCTTGATGATCCTGGTTATCTTGCATAAGTGCTGTCTGATGCCTTCTAATTTCAATTCTTGTGAAAGAAATCACTTTGTCAGGGGCCTGGCAGATAGCTGTGCTTCTCAAGAGCTGAGCTATCCTTGGTGGACAATGGTTATGCTTAGATCTTGCTTAAAATGCCTCTTGTGCTCTGGTCCTTTTTGGTTGTTTCTGTTTGCTCAGTAGCACCACTGAGCATTGTTGCTTTAATGTTTAAAAACAGAGGAGACTCCAATGGGAATTAGAAGTAGACTGAGTTCAAGTACATAGAACATGTTGGCTTGCCTGGGATACTTGAAGTGTTCTTTTTGTATTTCTAACTTACTTTCATCTTTGATCTTAGATGTGGAAATTTTAGTTTCAAGTCTTTCACATTTGAAATATTAGTAAAATTAGACAAGCCTGTATGGTCTAGTGAAGCTTTGTGCATGTCTCAAAAGCAATATTTCATAAATATCTATTTATTACTTTTTTTTTTTTTAGATTTACATACCAGTAATGTCTATACAACAAAGGATTCTTAAGTATATGTGCTTCACAAAAGCAGCATGTGTTCAGACAGTGCTGGAAAAAGCTGAATAATTGTATTCAGGACTCTGATCCTAAACACACCCTAACTAAACACATTTGTGTTTTGCTGATATACAATGTAGAAATGAGACCATGTGAATAAAATAGAGGAATGATTGTCATCTGCCTCTTGCAAAAGCTGTAATTTTGCTTAGCTGGATGCCCTATTACAAGAGACGTGACTGCATGTCACTGCTGGTTTTAAGGGGCTGAGAATGAAGAAACTTGCAAATGATAGAGCTCCTTCTAAAGTATGGGCAGCTTAATTAGTAGGGTAGTATGTTAACTGGAAAGCATAATATTAGCAATTAACTGCCTAGACCACTAGCAAAAGCAGAGGGGCTGGACAAATGCCGCATTTAGATGCTTTCATAGTCTCGAGGTACCTTTTCATGTCAGGATTTTGAATGCTTTTAAGGCTGCTTTTGAAGCTTTTTTTTTTTTTTTGCTAGCCAGTGTCAGGCTTCCAACTTCAGTTATCTGAAAGTGCATCTGGCTGACCACACCCTCTCATTCATGCAGTGATGTTGTATGTGTTGATATCCTAGAATGAGTCTGCAGATTTTAAATGCAGAAAATGGAGAAAATGGAGAAAACATCAGTGATGATCTAACAGCGGAAGACTGTGGCTTTTGCTTCGCACCACCGGAACCTACAGGGAGACCTTCCATTCTGCGCCTGTCCCAGAAAGAAAACTTGCCACCAAAAAGCGTGGCAAAAGCTATGAAGGTAGAGTTTTGCTTTCATATTGATTGTTCTTCTTCCTCCTATGATCAACACTACTAAATGCGTATGCTGTTTGGAGCTTGAAGATGTTCTGGTGTTCATGTTCTTTTTTTCCTTCCCTCTGCTCACCCCTGTCCCTTTCTTAAAGGTAACCTTTCAAACTCCTCTAAGAGATCCTCAAACTCGAAAAATCTTGAGTCCTACCATGACGGACAAACTTGAGTCTACTTTCACACTTGATGATTGCAGTGAAGCCTTTCAGGATGATCTTTTATCTGCACCCGTCAGTATTGAGTAAGTAGAGTATTCACTGCTAGCAGCATTAGCAATGGGGGACATCTGCAAGCTAATTTTCCCCTTTTTAAACCTGTATATTTAAACTGTAATATAATATTTTGTAACGAGATGGAAACAGCAAAAATTAATGCTGACTTGATACACAAACTTCTTTCAAAGATAACTGTTACTACTTTTAAGAAAGCCTTCTCGTGGTTTGTAATATTGAATATTGAACTAGATTTTTAATTCCTTTAGTAACTGATTTCCTACAGATGACTATAATAAGATATATTTCTTAGTGTATATACTAGTAAGCATAAATAATTTAAGAGAAAAGCACTTTAGGCAGAGAATGTGAAACTGCTTCCTACAGTCAGGTTTTCATGCGAGGCTATGACTATTCTGAAGTTAATCAAGCCTTAAAACTTCATCTTTGTTAGGTACTGCTTTATCTCTTTAGGCTTTCTCCTTAGGATACGTTTTCTGGAGGGTTAGCTTGAATTGCCACCTTGAGCCAGTGAGTGTTAAGATTAAAGGAAATCTAATAACACAGGGAATATCATGTCAATTCCAAGTAAGAACAGTCTAGCAGCCTGGGTTTTAAGGAGCCTGGTGGCACCTGTCTAGAGAAGAGCACAAGGTCTGCAGTGTTACAGTTTAGGGTTTTGTAACCTCTCCTTTACTACAAGTGTTGTTATAATGGTATAATGATAAAATATCTAAATAGGCAAGCCTCAATGCATATTTTTCTTACTGAATTTTTTCAGCCCCTTGTTAAACTTCTGCAAATATCTGGTGTCTACAGTGCCCAGTGACAAGAAGTCTCAGATCTTAACTTTTGTCTTCTGTGAGGAAGTATATCCTTTTGTCTTCAGCTACCCTATAGTATTCATTTGATCCCAATTCTTGTGTTTGGGACAGGGAGAAGGGAGAAAGATTGAATGCTTACATGTTCATTAAACATTTAGGTTTGCTTCAGCTGTTAATTTGTATGTAAACTCCAGTTCAGAAAAGTACATCTGAACAAACCACCTCAATTTTTAAGTAACTTAATTGTGTTTATGCCTCAAACTTACTGCTTAAATGAAGATTTGGTACATACATGGCTCAGTTCAGTTAAAAAGGCTAGCACCAAACTGGCTTTAGGGGGATGAGTGTGTGTCAAGATACCACTTTGGCTGTGCATATCTTTTCTACATTTAAAATATAAGAATCTGCTTGCAGCAAACAAGCTAAAGGAGTGGGTCTTGCTGAAAGAGGTCACTTTTGACTAGTTTCTGAATAAATTAAGCAAAGTTTCAAGCAGGTGTCTTGCTCTGGGCTGGCATTTATTAGGTTAAGCACTGAAGGAGAATGGGAGGGGCCTGAGCAGTTGAACAAGTCTGGGGCTGAACTATCGCAGGGAAGAGGCACTCCAACCCGGTGAGAAGAACTTCCTGAACTCTATCTCCTGCCTTTGCTTTCAGGCTTATCAAAGTGCTATTTTTACTGACAGGCTTTTAATCATGTCCTGCTCTACAGCAGATATGAATGGCACATAGAAATAGCTGCTTTGAGCAGGGACAAAACAATGGGAGGAAATCCTGTTTCAGGAAGTAATGGCTTAACTCTCTGTAGTCTGAGGCAAAGCCTCAAAAGTTAAGTCAAGTTTGGGGAACTAACGTGGAGAGCAATGACTTGTAGACTACCCACCAGTAGTGAGTACACAAACTCATTCTTTAACCTGTTTCTTCTGCTGGAGAGTCTTATGTTTTATGTACTGGAGAAGTATTTGCTTGTATACTGCTTTGCTCTTCAGCTCTTGTGTTGTATTGAGTTCAGAGTGCCTGAAATGTAGGATCTGTTTTGACATATAGGCCTGTGCAGATGATATCCTGGTGGATACTTGCACTGGGGGTAGGGGGGGAAAATCTGTTGGTGACCAGACAGAGCATTGACTAGAATGGGAGAACCTGAATCATAATTTAGTTTAGTCTGTCTTGTGACTCGGTCATGACTCATGGATGAAATTACACAAAAATGCACAACTTGTTGTGCCTTTCCTCAGACTCCTTGTTGTTAATAACTTCCTAAACAACGTGTATTTCACACTGCTTAGTGACAGGGAAATGTCTGTAAGGTCACCAGAGGTGACTGGCATAAGGCAGCTGTGTGTAGAACTGGTGGCTTAAGAATACTGAGTACCTTCAAAGATTGATTTTTCATGTAGCTTGTGTGTGCTAGCTCGTGATTTCAGACTACTTAGGTAGCATCTGGATTTTTGCTTTTAGGGTATTCTTTTGTTATCAGCTGCTCTCATTATACCACTAATTTTTATTATCTGAAGAAAGCTACTTAAGCAAATAGCATTTCACATCATATTTAAAGAGATCTAAAAAATGGCTATATCATGTGTGATTTGACCTTTTTTAATGCAGCACGAGTCTTCAAAAGGCTGAAGCTGAAGCAAGTAATACAGAGATAAATACGCAAATGCCAGAGAAAGTCAGTGCTGCTCCTTTCCCAGATGATGAGATGCCAGTGAAGAGCCGAGGTTCCTACAATATTGATTTTGATAACTTAAATGACATCAATCCCTTTCAGAGTTCAATGCAGCTTCAGAACTCTCCTGGAAATCTGCAAAAATCTCCTGTAAGAGTATCTAGCAGCTCTGGGAAAACTTCTGAAAAAAGTAGTAATTCTCTTCCACTGGATAGTACAGCTTCTTCACCTATAGCAAGTACTGAGCACCCAAGTGAAGAGGAGAATACTCTTTTTGCTGGAAAAGAATCTGTTTTGACAGAGTTGGAGTCTAACAAACCCAAACTGTCCCCAAAACAAGCTATCAGTGACTCTGTGCAGGAGTCAACTTCCACAGAAGTAAACCAAGCTGGTAAATCTGGCAATCTGGGTCCTAGTAGCTCTGATGTAACTGATTCTTCTAAAACTGGGGAATCAAAGCTTCAGAATGTTTCAGTAGCAGAAAAAGCTTCTGCAGAAGAGTTGAAGCCTCTGGAAGAACCTGCTGTCTCTAAAAGGGAACCCTCAGAAAAGCCTGGTGTCCCCAAAGCCGGACCAGTAAAACTGGAATTTGACTTTGATAATACCAGTGCTAGAAAACCACCGCCGAAGAAACTAGGTAAAAGGCCTGGTATTAAACCACCTTCCAAAAAAATTCCGACTACCAAAACAAAGCCAGAGAATACTGAAGTGCAAAATAAAAGTAATGTGGAAGATGAAATTCCTGTTCCAAAAGCATCTTATAAGTTTGACTGGGACAAACTTGATGATCCAAACTTCAATCCCTTTGGAGGAGGCTCTAAAATTTCCACCTCACCCAAGTGCTCTGAACCTAGCTCTCAGAAAGCTGAACTGCAGGAGGAGCTGGATCACACCTCACCAAGAAAGGAGCCTCTTCCAGTGGAGCAGGATAACAGACCAATTACTGGTGAAATTCTTGAGAAAAAAGAACCCAGAAGCCCGTAAGTAAATCTGTATAACTGAAAGTAGAAGGGCCTTGAACTCATGTGAGGAAAAAGTAGTTAGATGGTATCTATCTAATAATAATTAGGCTCCTACACCTACTTGACTTTCTTCCTCCAAGGCTGGCTTGCTTATATTGCACATGGTAACCTTTAACACAACATGTTGCAGCAGCTAAGATTTCATTGGAGAAACCATGGCTAGCTCTTGGTAAAAGGTATCTTTAAATTTGGAGGAAGGGAAAGGGGCAGACTTGCATGGGAAGAGCATTAATGCCTTGGTCAAGTAGCTCTTTACCTACTCCAAGATTAAAGTGAAGTGTGAAATATCAGGTAACTACTATCTTTCAGTAAACAGGTAAGTAGGCAGTGTTGCATATCAGGTACTACATGGAAGAACTAGGCAGTTCTGTTCTATACTTAGTGTCTTGGCTGAACTCAGAGGTGCTGTTTCTGCCTTGCATTTTCTTGGTATCTGAATGCTGTCTCCCATAAAAATGCTGGTCATGAAAGTTCTATTTTTTTGGCACCAGATGAAGCAAGCTTCTCCTACTTGGGAATGGGAGATGATGTGTTGCCTTTTCTTGGAAGTGTAACTATTAAAATGTCAGCATTACAATAGGCAGCCAGGAACAAACCTGAAGGAGACTGCCAGGAGATGCTGATTTAACAGAAATGTTTGCTCTCCCAGTGTACTGTAATCAGCTACTATTTACCAAAGGGGAAAGTTATGCTGTCAGCATTAACTGAAGTATTGGACCTCTCTAATGAAGTTCTATGGCTTACACCAAAAATCACAGTGTTATTTTGGTGGAAAGAGCAGCCTGCTTGTAATTCTGCTCTTAATTAAACAAAAGCCTATCTTTAGTTTAAAAATGTTGGGCTGCTCAAATTGAAATGAGAAAGGTGTTAAGTGAACAGGAACAAGTAATACTGTTGTGATTTTTCTGCTTCCCATATAACACTGCTTCTGGTGGAGGTAGAGCTTTGTCATTTAAGTTGTGACCAGGAAAGACAGAGAATTTACATCCTCATCTTCCTTGAAGCTTCCTGTACTTTGCAGTAGAAGCGTTCAAATAAGCTTACTTATTCGGTGCTTCAGTATATCTTATAGATAAAATTCAGAACTGTCTGTGACTGGGATTTTGACTTTTCCCTCCTCTTCCCACCAAGGGAGATCAGCAAACAGAATGTGGTAGAAGACAAGCCAAGAATACAAGAAACGCCAGAAGTTCAAGGAGAAGCTGAACTTCCAGAAGCACCAGCAATGGTAAGGTATAGAAAAGATAGCCAGCTTTTACCAAGTTGTTCCTTGGAACAAAGTTCTTTGCAACTTAACCTTGTCAGACCCATGTTTGATAATTTATCCAAGAAATAGTTTTTTCTTATGAAGCTTCAGCAGTTCTAGAGTAAATGAAAACTGTGTCGACTTGTCTTTTGAAGGTAACATCAGAGACAGACAATTGGTGCCTTGGTGTGTGGTATCATTTTTGATCAGAAGTTGCATACGAGGACAAACACAAGGGTGTGGATTCTTAAAAAGTGACTCCTGTACTTAGTGTTGGTACTGTTTAGTTTCCCAGTCTGAATTACTGAGGCTTATTATACTGGTTGCACAGCTAATTTGTGCCAAACCAATTTGATTATTATTGTGACTTTCATATTGCATTTAAATTGTTGTTTTAAACAATAAAAAGGATTGTTTTTTTCTTTTCAGGAGAAGCAAATAAACCCATCTAAAGTGTCTCCAGCTAATACCCCATCTCAAGATAATTTAGTTTCTGCTGACAGTGGGAAAAGGTCAATGTCTGCAGAAGAAACTAAACCTAGCTCACACAAAACCGAAATAACAGCAGATGAGCAGACAGCAAGCACTGAAGCTGAAGAGTTCTTCAGACCATCAGCAGAAGGTAAGGATACTCCTTCACAGTAAAATTGAAAGATATTGTTATAGTAACTTCTGTGCATGTATTTCTCTTCAGTTTTAGTACTGATTTTAGCTTTTATTATCTTCCATTTCCTTCTTCTGGAAGGATTGTTGGGGGGGAAAAAAAGCCCAACACAATAACTAGCAGGGTGGGAAATGTACCTGAGCTTACTTCTAACTTTTTCTGTATTAATAGGTTAAGCTAAATTGAAATAGCTGGCTATCAGCCATCAGCTGCCTGTGAAGATGAAACTTGGGCTTGTGTAGAAATAATTTATTTGGGGCTTCAGTGGCAGCTTTTCTTTTTTTAAGAAGAAAACCTCTGCCCTTAAAATCACTTCTGGTATTAAGGGGTTTCTAAAGGGAGAACACTGGAGCTATACAACTACCTGTAATTGTGAGTCTTGAGGGTAACTGCAAGCCCTCAGCACTGCTTGAATAGTTGCTGCTTATTGCTATATGGATGGTCATTCATCCATTTTAGAACCCTTTGCCTGATTTTCATTTTATTTCTTTTTGAGATAAAAGTACAATATCTTTTAGTAGATGGAAAATGAGCTCGTGAGATAGGAGCACAAACTTATTGACCGTATACACCAGCATAGCTATAGATGCTTCACTGTGAGATAGCAATGAAGATGCAATATTATCATATCATATCACTTCTTTTCCAGTTCTAGGAATGGGCAATGAAATAGACTATCTGGAGCAGTTTGGAACTTCATCAGTAAGTATTGTATTGAAATACTTTGTTTGCCTCCCTGGCTGGGTGAAAAGGAAGCCATCAAGCCTTAAATGTTTTTGTGAAGTAACTTGACTTTGAACTTGCTTACAGAAATACAGGTTTATTTCATAGGAATGTGTCTATAAGGCATGGTGAGGAGGAGGGAATGAGGTTATAAACAATTCTGCAAAGAATCAGGTGTCCTATGCTTCCGGTTTGCAGAGTTTGCCATTTTTCTTACAGTGGTGAAGTTCAGATGGATGACATTTCCCCTCTCTGCCAAAATGGCAAGAACAGCATGCTTTGAAAGTGCAGGATCATTGTTTTGAAAAGATTTTTTAAGCCCTTCCGTTTCATGGGCTGTTTCAGGAAATGTTTCAGGAAATCTGACTCTGAATTGGCTATGTCATATTTCAATCAGTTCAGCTCAGTTGTTTTTTTTCTCCCGCTTTGGGCTGGAGTGGGAGTGGCTTTGAGTATAGAGTGAATATACTGAAATTAAACTTGTTTTTTAGTCATACTGTGTTTGTCCTTATTTTTATGTGAGCAAAAACAAAAGACAAGACTGCGCATTCAGTTTACAGTACCATCTTTCAGTGTCTTTGCTGGTTTTGAATAGTTAGTAAAAGTTTGTCCTTTTGGCTCTATCTGTGAGCAGAGGACTGTTCACTTGATGTTACATAAGGACTTCAGAACTCGGTGCCCACAAGCTTATGTATTTTTCTCCTGAGAACAATACTCTGGCCACAGAAGAATAGGCTCACCCTCTTTCCAGAGGGTTATTTGTGTGGGGGTTTGCGTGTGTGTTATTCTGTGAAGCAGCAAATCTACCAGTTTATGCCTCTTCCCCTCAGTTCAAAGAGTCTGCTTTGAGGAAACAATCTCTGTATTTGAAGTTTGACCCTCTGCTGAGAGACAGTCCAAGAAAACCAATTTTTGGCACTTTTGAGACAAGTACAAGTATCATGGCTGTTCCACCACAGTATGGGTAGGTACTGATTTAATCTAGACTATAGTATGTGGTGGTGTAAGGAAAGGCAGCACTGGAATATTATGTTGTGTTTGTTTGTTTTTAGCCCTGTTTCTGATCTAAGCAAACTGCTTGAGGAAGCTGAAAAGCCTGCAGTGAGTCTTCAAAATGAAGAGAAACCAAAAGGACTAGATCTTCTAGGAACATTTACAACTTCTGTAAGGATGTCTGGAGTGATACTGGGTTTAATGTCTTTATTTTGGGGAAGCGATCAGCCAGAATCTGGAGTTAAGACTTACACAGCTTTTAAAGATTGCAGAATATTTGAGGCTTATCTTAATTGTTGTCCTAGAAAGGTTGGTTAACTACTCATATCAAAGCTGAACTTTTGGATGGACTTAATTTTCTTGTATTACAAATCTTTTTTGTGGAAACTGATGGCATTGCACATGGTCCAGGAGAATTTGAACTGTTTTTAAAAACTGCTTTAATCAAGCAATCTTTTTTCATACAGCTGAAGCCACAAAAATAAGACAAACTTCTATTTTAATTGCAGTGCTGAGATGAAAAGCACTTTTGATTAAACTTGATGCCATACAGTGTAAGCTTCAGAGCAATGAACACCCTTATATGAACAGATCTGCACATAGTAACTCATCCTGAAAAGGTGTTCTATTTACTCATAGGGAATAGTGTGGTGTCATAACCATCAGAAACACAGCAGATAATTGGAGGATAGCACTCTGTTACACCTCAGATACCGATGTAGCTTTATAAAATACCTACAAGATAAGAAAGCCATGGTAATTAAGTTATGGAGGTATTTGGGGGGCTTCTTATTGGGATATATTCATTTACACTGATCTATCAACAGTTAATGATTGCATAAAAAATTCAGAATCACTTAACTCAGCTTTTATCTCCTCACAGGACACAGATTCCTTAATCCCAGACTCTTTCACTAGTGACATTTCTCCACTCAATTCTGCTGCTTCCACAGATGCTGCGGTGGATGCTATTATAGATGTACTAAAATATAGCCAAAAAGACATGGATGCAGCTGTTGAACTGGTTAAAAGAGAGGTATGGTGACACTTGACTCCGCATAGCCTTGAAAATCATTTTTGTTTAGATTCTGTTGTAGAGTTCCACGCTTGGCAATTCTATCAGTCATACTTGACATAAACATCTCATCCCCAAAAGCTTGTTGTGTTCTTGATAGGAACAATAGGAGTAGAACTCTGAAGAGCTGATATCTAAGGAAATACGTCAAACTTAACTTTTAGTTGGGTTCTGCCTTAGAACCGATCCATATTAAAAAGCATTCTTGATCAGATTTGGGGCTTGATACCAGTTACCAAAATATTTTTTAAACTACCCAGGAAATACCTATTCTTACCAGTGGGAAGGAGGGGTTGCGTTTTATATAACTATTCCAGTAAAGCAAGATAAATCTGTAATGTCAATTCAGTGTGGCGATAACTTCTTTTTTTTGTGGAATAGGGAGGCATGTCAGTATGTCCAGCAACTAAAAATAAATGCTGGGGAGATCCAGAGCTCCCTCTGGACTAACATTAGTTGGGAGGTGCAGAAAGAGTCAGTGGGATTTTAAACATTGACTCACAGAGTGGCTGAGGTTGGAAGGGCCCTCTGGAGGCTGTGTGGTCTGACCCCTGCTAAGGCAGGGCCACCCAGAGCAGGTGGCGCAGGACTATGTCCGGGTGGCTTTTGAAGCCCTCCAAGGAGGGGAGCTCCACAACCTCTCCAGGCAACCTGCATGGTAAAAAAAATAAAATAAATGTTTCCTGATGTCTGGGGGGAACCTTTCGTGTTCTAGTTTCTGCCTGTTGCCTCTTGTCCTGTCACTGGGCACTACTGAAAAGAGCCTGGCTCGGTCTTCTTTGCACCTTCCCTTCAGGTATTTACAGACATGGATGAAATCCCCCTGAACTCCTTTTTCCATGCTGAACAGTCTCAGCTCTCCTTGTAGGATAGGTGCTCCAGACCTTTCACTATCTTGGTGGACCTCTGGACTCTTTCCAGTGCTGGGGGACCCAGAACTAGACCCAGCACTCCAGGTGCAGCCTCACCAGTGCTGAGTTAGAGAAGGACTGCAAGAGGAAGGATTGCCTCTCTTTCCCTGCTGCTGATACTTTGCCTGATGCATCCAAGAATAGTTAGCCTTCTTAAGAGCAAGGGCATGTTGCTGGTTCATGTTCAAATTGGTGTCCACCAGGATTCCTAGATCCTTTTCTGCAAAGCCGCCTTCTAGTTGGGTGCCTCCCAGCATGTGTTGGTGCCATTTGTTCCTCCTGAGGTGCAGGACTTTGTACGTCTCTAGTGTGTTGAGGTCCTTCTAGATGACAGCATGACCCTCTGGTGAATGGGTCACTCCCTTTTGCCTCATCTGTGAATTCATTGAGGGTGCGCTCTACCCCCAGTCATCCAGATTGTTAATGAAAATGGTAAACAGGACTGGACCAAGTATTGATGCCTGAGGTACTTCCCTCATGATCTGTAACTAAATCACTACAGAAATTGCTTTTGAAATCCCACCTTCTCCCTGATGCCGAAAGAATAGTGTATTCATTCACTTTAAAAAAATCTGGATACTTAAAAAATTATAGCTTTTGGATTATGTGAATTCATGAATACTGAATATTGTAAGAGCAGGACTGAAGCACCAGTTCTCATAAAGCTAGTTTTCACTTCAAAAATAACTTCAGAAGAAAAGAGCATTCTAAATTCTAAGTGAACAATATCACAACCAGTAAATGCCCTTAGTGAAGGTGTAAAGCAGCAATAGGCTGCAGGTCAGTTCTTTTCTTTCCCTTTTATACTCTAAAAATACTACCTTTTCTGGGAGTAACTTTTACCCAGTATGTTGTCTAACACATGAAATGGGTGGCTCTGGCAGGGGTCAGCTCTTAGTGCGCTGATCTGAAACAAAGAAGTTATAAGCTTTGCTCCCTGTTCTTCTAATATTTTGAACATAATTATTTGAAGTGAGATGTTAGAGCACCATTTTAAACATGGAGAAATAGTTGCAGCAAGGCAGGTGTGACTGTTATACCAGCTATTTGGGCTCTTAAAAATGGATAGAAGTGCTCGGGTTTCCTGTATTAACCTGAAAGCAAGATGGATCGAATTTAAGATTTTTTTGTGAAACACCTCAAGCTGAGATGAGAAGGAGGGAAAATGTATTTTCCTCCTGAGCAAATATAACGTTTCATGAAAGCATGCTTTCTTGTCTGCTGAACCATTTCAGATGAGTTTGCTAATGAAAGCTTCTATCTCAACATGCTTCTGCTGTTTTAACACTTATTTCTAGCTTAACTATTATTGATGCCTTCTGCAAGCATACCTCTTGAGTTGAAATGTTCAGATTCTCCTTATGTTATATTCTTTTTCACTCCTGACTCACTTCCTGCCATCTGAAATACTACAGTACACTTAAAATGCATTTACTCTTAAAACTGCTTAAACAAACAAAAAACAGTATACTGCAATGTACCATGCAACTTTGAAAGGAAGACAGCAATAATTAAGTGCACTTACCTTTTTCTGTTCAAATTTCACAGCTGTTTTTGGGCCTTGTTCGATGTTCAAGGCCTCCCACACTGTGCAGTCAACTTATCAACATTATGGCTATTAATAGAAATTCCAGGACAAAACTGAATTCATGGGGTTTGCACAAACTATTTAGTATTAAGCAGTAAAAGCACTCTTTGCTGTTACTGTGAGCTCTGCTTTAATTAAACTGATGTGAAATAGTTCTATTTATTTTTAAGATGACTGAGGTGTCTTAAATTTGGAAACATGTTAGGGAGGGAGTTGAGTATTGAATAAAGATGACTCCAAACATCAAATTAATCTTGACCAGCGTAGTCTTTCAGTATTTACTGTCTGTCTTGTGTTATGATCAGTAGATGTGTGACTGACTTTTTATGATTTGTAAATAAAAAGGGAATATATGTCACCTGAGAGCATTACTGGCCAATGAGCAATGAGCTATGTGTAGGATGGATAAGAGCAGGCAAGTGGTGGACTTGCCAGCTGAGAGAATTTGGTAACACTGGGAATTGTGCAGTTTGAGTTCTAGTTTTCACGTACATCTTACTTGACTCAAATTTGTAAATAAATGTTTCACTTTGAACCTGTTAGGCAGTTAGAGTTTGAAATGGGGAAAATTAAGTATAACTAAGCTATCCTTTGGACCATTCCTAGTATCAAATCTTGTATCACTTCATGTGAAAGAGACATGTTTACTTTTCCCTGAAAGGTTCAAGAGAAAGAGTTGGAGACTCTCGAATGGAAAAAGAAGTATGAAAAGCTTCATATGGAATACAAGGAAATGGGGTAAGTATCTCTTCTATGCCAGCTTATTTACTGCAGCTGCTTCTTCCATCTCATAGTCTAACTTTCTTTTCTTTTTATAGAAAAATAGTTGCTGAGTTTGAAGGTACAATAACCCAAATGATGGGTAAGTTCTGAATTTGCATTTGAAATTATTCTGGGGGCTGTGTTTAGCCTAAGGTTGCCAATTGAACTGTTTCACTTCTGATGTCATTAATGTTTCAAGTGCTTTGAGGGTGAATAAGGTTTCAGACAAGGTACTTAGAGGGTAACATTTCAATGAATATTCATATAGACATGGCTGTGTGTTGATTTAGTAGACAATAATGACATTGGGAGGCAAGCATGAGCACGTCTAACATCCTCTGACACTCCAGTGGACTGTGAACTACCAGTTTATTAAAACTGGCAGATCCAGATGTCTGCAGCTTGCTTAACGGTTTATTATCTGGCCTTAATTAAGCGATGGGATGTCAGTAGGGGATCTTGCTGGACTGATCTGCCCTCTTCTTCCATCAAGTTTGTCTTCCTAACTTTGAAGCACATTAAGTTCTTGTTACATAGGTACGTTGTTCTAGCTGAGAAGTGAATTAGCCAAATCTGTGCCTTGCTTAAACGTAGTTCTTTAAGGAAACTGAAGAGCATGCTAGTTTTTTTTGTATGTATGCTTTTTTTAAAAAGTAAGCCTGTGGGAAATGTAGCTCAGGTGTGCTAGCAAGAAGTTGTCCTGGAAAGGTTTGCCAGGCTAGTTTGTCTTGTTATCCCAGTCTTCTCCAGTTACTCGACTATTGTGATAATCACAATCTTTAATAGCCTTGGGGTTAGTACAAGAGAACATGTAGCAAACTAAGAGAATACTACTACTTTACTAAAAGTAAAGACACAGCCTCCTTTTTGGAAGAGACATTATGCTATGAAAACATCTTTTCATAGTGTTATCTGGTGGGTTACTTGTCTGTATTATGGATCTAGCTTTATGCTAATTCAATAACTATCATTAATGTAACCCTGTTACCTCCAATTTCTTTAGAGGATGCTCAGAAGCAAAAGGAGCTTTCAAAGAAAGAAATGCAGAGGATGGCGGAAGAGAAGCAACAAGTTATTTCAGATCTGAATTCTATGGAGAAATCTTTTTCTGAACTCTTTAAGAGATTTGAAAAACAGAAAGAAGTGCTGGAGGGTTACCATAAAGTAAGATGCTATAATGCAAATAATACTCTTCCAAGATAAATAAGACTTCCTTTCCTCTTAGAGAAGATCATAAGTTATGCATTTCTAGAGCAGCCATTAATTCTCTAGTAGAGGCACAGCCTGTAAAACAAGTCTGCTTTAAAGATTTAAAAATGTTCATTATATTTAGTGGCTGGCTTAAAGTATGATAATGATCTTTCTGTTAGAAGCCAAAGGCTTTTCAAACAAAAATGAGCTTTTTCTTATTGTATGTATATTGGTTTTTCTGTTAATTATGAGGAACAAATCTATTGTAGCAACTTGTTGCATAAGGACAGCTTGTTTTCCCCTACGTAGCATTGAATGGGTACTGAAGAGGATTTTCTATTACAAGTCAAAATGATATATTTACTGAATGTTCTCTAGCTTAAACTGGTGAAGTCAAACATACTCAGACTAGAAGAATGAAGCTAATGATGATCATAAGCTATGGTTTCTTATACAAAATGCTTAGACTTATTCAGCAGAAACCTATGCAGGACTTCATCTTGCATTCTTTCCATCTCTCTGCCCTGCTTTCCAAAGCCCTTTCCTTAGCACAGAGTTAAAGCATCACCTGGAGACAGTGATTTGCCAAAGTCAGGAGTTGGAATTAGTAGGGAGACTTGGCGCTTATTTCATAGCTTGTGTTACTTGGCAATTTTTCCTCTTACTCTGATTGGTAAATACTGTCACTTTGGTGTAGTTAAGTTGCTGACTTGTGCAAAGTCTTTCCATTTTACCTACTAGTACATAAAAAGCCAACTAAACTTCTTCCTGGGGCAGAATGAAGAGGCTTTGAAAAAATATGCTGAAGAATACCTGGCTAGAATTAAGAGAGAGGAACAGAGATATCAGGCACTAAAGGCACATGCTGAAGAAAAGCTGCATCAGTAAGTACCATGCCAAGAAGCCAAGTACTAAGAGTGAAATATGCAGTTTTCCCCAGTTGCTGTTAAATGGGGTTTGCTTATGCCAAAACCTGGCTTAAAGTAGTGATTTTGAGGGGTTGATCTTCAAAGAATGAGAATCTAGTGTGATTCTATGAACAGTCATACTGCTGTTTGAAGGTGATAGAAACATCCATTTTGCTTCAATTCCAGAGCAAATGAGGAAATTGCCCAAGTACGAAGCAAAGCTAAATCGGAGACTGCAGCGCTCCAAGCCAGCCTCCGCAAAGAACAAATGAGGATCCAGTCTTTAGAGAGGAGCCTTGAACAAAAGGTTAGTCAAAAGGCTGTGACTGAGTCTTTCTAATCTATTGCCTTAGACAAGCTGAAGAAATACCTTGCACCACTACTAGAAATAGTCCTAATAACTGCTGTTTTAGGTGACTGCTGTCCAGGTAGGTGTTGGGAAATAAGTACTGAAATTGAGTCTTAACATAATTGACTGTGTGCCTTATCTGTATATAGATTTTTTTTCTTGGATCAAAAGGGCTTGTTCCCATAGATGGGTCACAGAAATGACCAATCGAGGCTGCTGTCTCAGGATGCTCTCTAAGCTACTGAAGGAGTTAGTGTTTTGAAACTTAAACACATCCAAGAGCAGAATCTGGAAATGATCTTGAATAACTGCCTGATTCAGCTTGTTTGTAGACACATGATTTGTAAGCCATTAGCACTAGTCAAGCTGTTTTGTATTGGCTGAACTCTTTCAATATTGTTCAGGCCCTTAATCTTTATGAAACACTGCGATCAAATATACTTCATGGATGAAGTCTTGAAATGCTTTGTACAGCCACATCAGTCTCCTTTGTTAGAACAAATAAATAGAAATATTTCTGAGGGTTGAAACATATTGCTGGAAGTGCATGCTCTTAGTTCTACTGCATCATGGTTGTACTTTTGCCAATGCTGAAGACTCAAAAACAGATAATTCTGATGCATTCCTGCTGTTACGAAAAAATATCCTGTATTTATGTCTTCACGGTTATGGCTAAGGTTTGAATAAATGAGGAAACAGTAGGCCTATAACTAGAACGATGAAATGAGTCATTTAGCACAGAAGTATTTTTTTCCTGTTTCAGATTTGATTTTTCTTGTATTTTATGTTAGGAACTCTTATTAAAATGGTTTAACCACTCAAGCAATTAACACAAGCTGGAAACTACTACCACATGTCGGTAAAAGTACCGAAGCATCATGCCATGGAGATGTCTGTCTTGTGAAGTTTAAAATCCAAACCATTGCTATCATCTTGAATTTCAGTATACCTAACAAAATGACCTTGAGTCTGAAAAGTCTAAGTTTACCAAAATTTTTAGAAACAAATTGATCTATGGAAATCTGTTGAAGTAGAGGAACTATAGCTAATTCTGCTTCACTTCCTGGGGATCTTACGGGGATCTACATGAGATCTACAAAGTAGACTGTCCCTTTTGAGTAAATTTCTGTAAGTCACTAGCATATAAACGGACTTTCTATTCCATGTTGGGAAATGTGGCTTATTGTGACTCAGCTTGCTACCTGTAGCATACCTTACATGTACCCGTAACTCTTCTTTTTTTTCTTTAACAGACTAAAGAAAACGATGAACTAACAAAAATCTGTGATGACTTGATTTTGAAGATGGAAAAAAATGCATAGCTTAATTGTTCTTGTAAATATTTCTAGTTTTTCTGACTTCCTGTCCCATGTGTTCATTCAGTCTTTTAATTATGTATTGGGGGAAAAAATAAAACTTCTGATTTGCACTCCTCTTGTATATTATTATCTCTTGTTGGAAATGTCAGTTTACTGATATGTTTAGAAATACTGAAGTTCAATTTTCTCTTCTGGTATGTATCAATATATTGCCTACTTTCACATATGTCAGTGGAAGGAAAAACTAATCGTCTTACCCTCAGTCTCTTCCCTGTGTGAGAACACCAAGATTCTGTGATATCCTGGCTGCTGATGAAGGTCAGCATTAAGGACATGTCTATCTTGCGCTTCCTGCTGTGTCATTTCAGTCAAAACTTTATGAAGTTAGAGGATTGTAGTTTTAAGCAGACTAGGTGTCACATCCTGTCAATGGTGACTTATGTTCCTTCTTTATAAGTGACAGTTGTGAATCTTGAGAAGACTTGATAGCTGTTTGCAGTAAACCAGGCCAATTACTGACCTTGAAAGTGAATACTGAGCAGAATATTGTATAGGAGTGTTTTGTACTTTATTTCCAAGCAGGGCTTGGCGGTGGGGGGAAGAAGGTTTGGGATATTTTTTTCACTTAGTGATGTAAAAAAAAACCTCAGAACTTCAGCTTTTCTTTATTAAAAGAAAAATATAAACCTGAGCTGAAGTGATTTGTTTTCAGATGAGCTAAGATGCCAAGGGACTGGAAAACAGGACAGACTTGCTTGCTACTCTACTGCCGTAATATTTTTCAAGTCATTAGTCTGATGCTATTGACTTTCCAGTCAGCCATCCAGAGCTCTATGCCACTCTTACAGAAAGGCTTTGAGGAATGTAGTAGGCTGCAGGTCACAGGTCATAATGAAATCAGTTTTAATTAGGACAGAAGTAGATACGTCAGATAAGTTATTACCTAACAGACCTTCTACAGGATTGTCTCATTGTGTAAGCTATAGTTTTTCGTTTAATATTACTGGGAGGTCATTCCCTCACTTGCCTAACTAGTAGCTGCATTTTTCTCTCAGAAGGGTTGTTGCTGCCGGGTGTGCTTGTGGCTGTACTTGGAGCTCTTCCCGTATTTGTTAAGGGTAGTTTGCTTGGGGCAGGAGGAAAAATGACTAACAGTACTTAAATCATGGAATCTGGGGTATACTCTGGCTAGGTAGCTACTTGTCATTATTGGTATGTTTACAGGAAGCTGTATGTAGCTAGAATACTTGAGACCTGTTCCACTCTAGGGTTAATTAACACTTCAAAGCTCATGGTGCGTTGAGTTTTCTTTCACTTTGTAGTTTCAGAACTAACCTGGGAATGTCAATGTGAAGTCAGTAGCAATGATATTGAATGCCCGCTTCCTGCAGAAATTGCTTTGCTAGATTTTTTTCTTTAATCTATAGCTCAGGAAGTGCTACATGGAGGCAGAGAAGAAATCATTCACAGAACAGACTGTACAAAAACAAAGCCTTGCTATCTCAACTTTAGATAACAGGGATTACTCCAAGCTGTGTCTTGGAGTGTCCCTTTGTAATAGACTTAAACAGAACTGAGAAACTTGGTGCCTGTTGAATATGAACTTTTGCTCATATTTTAATTATGGAGACTAATTTCTCTTGAAGTTCTCAGTGAATACTGAGGCTGCAGGTTGATGTTAAGATAAGATTAAGCGTGCAGCCACAAAGTGTAGTCCTTTTCTCTCTGGTGTTGGATCATCTCTGTGGTGTGCTGGCCCGGATGGACTAACTGGCCAAGGTGAAAGGGTGTCTGATTAGAAGAAACTGGTTTGCAGGGGATCGATGTGCTGTGAAGGTTCACTTTTTACATCTAGTACAAAAAGGGATAAAAAACAAAAAAGGCAGGTCACTTTGGCAGAGTAACTGACTACCTTAATGCAAAACTGAACTTGAACTAATAACTCTACAAACTCATTAGAAATAAACTTGCAATGGCAAATCTTCCCACAAGATGTAGCTGCTGCTCTTCCAAATATTGGCTGTAAATGGCAGGGCTGTGTGTCAGCACACTGCAGAAGTGGAGATAGTCCCTGACTAGTGCTTAATACTAACAAGGCAATTGTTCTAGTAGGTTCCTGTTGGGAGGGATGAAGAGCTGCAAAGTGATGTATGCCAACAGACTGTATATACATAGTGATAACACTACATGAAACTTCAGTGCTACAGCTATCAAAGTAGTAATCATACCACCAATTAATATAATCAAGTTCTTCAGAGTTGGCTGGGTGACGGGGTCTCTGTTGCTAGTTTTGCCCTTCTGCTCTATGGATGTGGGATGGGGGAGTTGTAGGCATTTTGTGTGTGCCTTTAGGCAGCTGCTGCACAAGGGAGTACTGGCACCCTCCTCACCTTCCTTCGTTTCGTCAGGGTGAAATGTCCATGGATGGCTTTGGGTGAGCTGCATAAGCAGACAGTCTCTGATCCAGTATCTCGGCAGATAAAGGGAGGAGAGCTGTGAAGTGGAGGAAGGAGAGGAGCCTCTCAGCTTGCTTGTTCCCTTGCTTGAATATAAGGGCATTGCAGACACCTTAGTCCCCAGTCTCCTGACTGAGGTGGATGCAGATCAAGTCCAGTAAGAGAGCAGCACACCAGATACAATTCTCATTTGGTCTCTTATCATGTGTATCATCAAGAATCACATCTCATGTGGCTGTTTATTGCCTATTGATATTGAATAATGGAAACTGCACTTCAGTAAGATGTTGAGAGACAGCACACCACAGTCCTACTGCAATCTGTGACTACTGTGCTGTGAAATCTGCCTGAGGCTCTTCTATTTGCTGGTTGTCTCCCTCTGTACAAGATAACTACGTGACAATCATCACTCAGAGATGGCTATGAATACCTGTGCACTGAGGAGGATGAGTGGGCAGTATTTGAATGTGTGAGTTACCAAAGCTTATCGCTTGAGTATTCCTTAACTTCCAGCCTGGATGACTACATTTTGCTTGTCAAGTTTGTGCATGGCTTTTTTTCCCTTTTGCTTCTTTGTATGGTCTGCTTTGACCTTTGCATTTTAATCAGCTCAGAAGGGATAACTTATTTTTCTCTACAGGTGCAGTATATATCTTCAATTTACACTCACAGTCTGTGAGAAAGTCTAATGTTTCATAATTTCTAGTTGAAGAGCATTTAAGTGTCACCTTCCTTATTTCAAAGCATCATTCTTTTTTTTAACTATTATTCCTCTAGTGCTGGACAGTCCCCATCAGAAGAATTCATTTTTACAGCATGCAATATAGGAGGCTGGTTGCACAGTACTGAAGCTGTGTGTTCCAGTTGGATGAGATTAGAGTGCACTACCCTCAGATATGCATCAAGCTGGTTGGTTTATCTTATTGCTATTTACTAGTAGCAAGCAGATAATAGGGAAATAGCTTACTGCCTGGTGCTTCTGTGCTCGCTTGTTTTTCTTTATTCATACTAAAATAACATTTATATAAATGCAAGTAATTGCTAGGTGCTGCACAATCAGTGTGATAGTTCTTGCTCCAGACAGCCAGTTTCTGGTTCAAGTATACAGGATGAGATATTTTTATTTCAAAGTTGATTAGAGTGGATCAAAGGTACTGAATCTGTTGTGAGAGCTAACTGCACTCCTGTATTTATAGTAAGGTCTTTCAGGGGACTGGGCTTTTAACACCTTTTCATGATGTTTCCCGGGTTCTTCATATTACTCAAGTCTTAAGGGTGTGCAGCTGCCCTTGGACTCTTCTCAGCTGTGCTACTGTGCAGGCAATCTGTGTTGATGTTAGTCAGACTGTGATGGGACTCCTTTTTCTGTTAGGTTTTCAAAGCAAATGTAACTGCTTAGCCTTGTCTAGCATATCCAAAGTCACCTTTCCAGCCATGTCAGCTCCTGTTCCATTATAACCTGATTTCAGGGGAACACTGTTCATGGTCCAAGCACAGACTACCCGGACTCACATCTAGTTAGAGACATAGGTTCTGAAGTCATGGCTCAAACCCTGCTGCATTTAATACATATCTCCAGACTCATTCCAGAATTGAAAGGTTGCATTCTGACTTTCTAGTCCTTTTTGCACTGCTCTGGTTTAAAGAAATGCCATAGTGTAACATGAGAGAGTTTCAGGAGAGTCGTCTCAGTGTGAAACTTGAACCGTGCAGGGCTGAATCTGTTGCTGTGACTTCAGATGGACACTTCAATGTACCAGCTTCACTTCTAAGGCTGAAACTGGTTACTCCAAAGCAGATGTAATTCACTTCTGTCCCACATTTAAAAACACAAACCAAACACTGTAATTTGCACAGAAGAAAGCCAGACAAATAATGGGACATCTGTGTTTTCCTCATTTTGGAGCAAGAATTTGCTACCTGAACCACTAAACAATATTTTAAAGTAGAAAATAGAAATTAACACTCTTTTTCCACCAGAAAACAGATTCAGAAAGCTTTTAGCTTCAGCATGCTGTATTTGGCTGAATGAGGAGCTCAGCCTTGTCAGAAGTCATTCGATCATGGCACAACTGATCCTTCTTTGGCTTTGAAAGATTCCTGTGATTTTTTTTTTTTTTTGAGCTTGTAAAATGGATTGGTCACAGCATTTACTTCCTTAGATGTCTTTTCCTTTCCTGTATGCCTAGTTAGTACTGGCAAACTAAATGCTGCACAGGAGTGAAGGAATTCCTGTGAGTTTCTTCCTACTTTTAATGATACGAGTGTCAGTAAAACTAACAGCAGTTTACATCAGGTATTTGCTTTTCAGCACTTGTCAGGCTTTTGCCAGTGATGTCTTACTCCCTGAACATCTCGGTGGCCATTTGCAGACTGGGATCATAACTGTCAGACTCTAGATTTATTTTTTTTTTTGAGTCTGCTGGGCGAGAGTTTCCCAGTGGTGAAATCCTGCTGGCTTTAAGAGGGTTGTGGTGTAACTTTATCTGTCTTCTGGAGTCCTTCCTGACTCTTGGTGTGCTAGAGAGGAGAAGCCAGGCTGTGAGACTGGCTCCTGGCTGGTGTCACCTGCCAGAGCGCTGATGGAGCTGGAGCCCAGCTTGTGTATGATCCCAGTGTCCCAGAAGCAGCTGTGATAGTTTGATGGAGCAAAC